GACAAATCCTTTCTGTTACTGGTCATACTTGTGTGTAACCAACCGAGTACTGACAAATGTGGAGCGGAAAGATTGCCCGACTTTGCTCAGTTCTCGAGTTTTGGATAGGGCCGATGGTTTGCCCACGGCCATCTCTACTCATTTAGCTTGCTCGTTTATTGGATGACGTATGTAGCTGTTACAGGTCTGGCACAGCCATGCCAGACTCACCCAGGTTTCACTGGCTCCAGTACACTATCGTCACCGGACAACACGGTCGCTATGCCGAGGCCTAAACAATTCAGTTCAGAGCGGAGTTCTCACTATGGTAACTGCCGCCAAGGGTCCGCTCATCCGCGCAGATCACAACGGTGTGGAACAGTGAAAATGCGGCCAACATCATATCCCGCACAGTTCCCATTGAACTCGCCCCAGTGTGACCGCTGTATCCACTGCGCTCTCATCAAGTCCACAATCGGCCTCCTGAGCTGTGTTCATGCTAATGCCCTAGTTACCGAGCACGCTAAACAACTGTGATGCAACCAACATCTCAACTGCATCTACCCTACACCATCTCTGCCCAGAGATGAGGCCATTACATTGCAACTCATGTGCCAACAAACGTACATCTTCCCTTATAGTTTCTACAATTGATAAAGTGACAAGAGCACAGCCCACGCAGCTGGGCAATTAAGCGGTAGGACGACCCCGGCAATGGGAAATTAGGCGGTGCAAATTTAGCATATTTATGAGAAAAGAATTTGTATTTTGAAAAACTGTGCACTTAAGCGGGTGGACTATAAAGCTGGTTCGACTGTATATTCTCAACTCGGTTAGGCAGGGCCCAGCTATGCTGGTCCCATCATAAGATACAAGGGAAATGTAGACCGATTTTACAAACTGCGGCTTAAAAACCCTTGTGATTCCAATTTCATTAATTCTTGCGCCAATGGTTTCTTTTCAAAATTTGTCGGAATCCACGGAAATTGCAGAACTTTCAGATGCGTTTAGGCGGATATTTGGGAATACGAAACAAAATAACAACGTTTTAGAAGGTAAGTGATAACATGTACATGCAAATGTAATTAAAAATTAATAACGTTGGTATATAACAATAATTTATTAATGGTGAAAGTATGTGAGCATACGTACTAACACGGCAAACGGTTAAACTCGGAATTTTTTCCATCATGCAGCAAATCAGTTCGAATTAACGACATACCTCACACAATTAGAATTACTTACATAAATTGGGTGGGTTAGTTGATGGGCATCAACAATTCACCTTTTTAGTAGGTCCATGTCTTGCAGACACTACACCTTTCAACTAGCTGGGTAATAGAAAGGAAGCACTATATAATGGCTAAGGAAAAAGGTTGCTTATCTAACCCACCAATGTGCGCATGTTTTTCAAATGCAATCAGTAGGTCTTGAAGCTGAGTAAGAAGCAGTGCAGATAAAGCAAAACTCGAAGATAAATCCCATCTGTCGAACTCATCATTGTGCCCATGTTTTCATAGGTCACCATCAACCTGAATAACACTAAGAATATAACAGTATAGACTAAGAGAAAATCGGGGATAGATTTCATTTATCCAACCTATATATGTACCAATGTTTTCATAGGCCACCGGGGGGTCGTCAGTAATACCGATGTGACAAAGCAGGAGGAGGGAATGCGACACAAACCTAAGTTGCCTACCAAGAAAAACTCATGATAAGAGAACACTGTATTTCACATTGTGTAAACAAGCCCTCATCCCCATCTTTATGTGTACTTTTGTATTACGAATTTCGCAAATGTTTGCTTGTGGGGTGGGTGTCTCTGCAATAGATAATCTGAAAGCAAGCAAGTCATTCAGTTTCTGTAGATGCACAACCAGTGAGTCGCAATCACATAGATAGAGTAGCCAGCCGTCGATGTCGACAAAATGAAAAAACTATCGTGGTATTTTCTAGACTTGATATGGATCCGACAATAAGCAGTCAGTGCATCTAGAGCATCAACGACGCCTATGAACTTAGTATCCAGGGTGACTGCGCTTTCATGCTCCATAGATACCTCTACTTTCAATTTTCTGTCCCATCTTTGAATATTACAAACTGGTCGAGCACTGACAAATGTGTTGGCGAGAAAAGCTGCTCTGTTGTCAAGCCATTTGACAATTTATGCTTCCACATTGTCAACAACTACTGCCTTTTCTATAAATGTCCCTCCCCCTTCTTATGTCTAAGTCATCACTGAAACGGCACTCTTGTAGGCGATTTTACTGTACTGTCCCGAGGGCTAATATTCCCTGCTTCGCAAGCACACCACATAAACGCAATGAAGAAGTTATCAAAATGGCCCGAATAAGTTGTGCAAGTTGTATAGCAATGTTTCCACTCGCACCGATGTAAGGTATACGAGGAACAGGATCCATTTTCCCTATGAATATTTCAAATGAATATACAAGTCCTTTTGTGTTTCGCAGAGCACAATGATCTTGTATCCCCATTTGTGTTGTTTCTTAGTACCATATTGCTTCAGACTTTGCCTCTCTTTGAGTGGGACCATTTGCTCATCAACCGGTAACATTTGGTCTTAGATAGATAGATAGATACTCTGAAACTTTGAAATCTATGCACATGGATTCCATTTCTAGGACGATGAACCTAAATACGATATCTTTCATATGCTACCATGTGTGAATGTAGCGAAAGAGGCACGTACTATTGCTAATAACTACGTTTCCATCTCAGATAATTCATTCTGTTAAATTCTTAGTGGCAATGAACCAGAAGCGAATAAATATTTTTTGCTTCCGCATAACTTGCCTCCAATTTCGTACAAGTTCTCGAACTCATGAACCGAAATTCACGTCAAACCAACGTTCACACTCATTACTTCAAGTAGTTATAACTTCGTCAAACGCAACATGCAGTGAACTGGTACATAGATAGAATGCAATGCATATCCCGAAAATGCCAACACAGGCACTGAAGGAAAATATGTGCACTGAAAGCTGCATTTGCGAAACAAATGGTTTTAGGTGTTTTCGCCGCATACGGCGTTAACCGGTTAATCCAGAGCAACGGGAAATTACTTTTAGCAAAATAACTCGATGGGCATAGCTTTTTTGAAGGATTCCGGTGCAAAATAACCGGAGAACAGTATAACCAGTGAAGAATACATGCGGTCACAAACCTTTGAATGGAAGCACAGGGAACGGAATGCGTTTTTAGCCTAAAGGCGTAAAATGCGAGCCTTCTAACATTTTTAAGCTTCTCAAGAATATGTGTAATCCACGATCAATTTTGAACCAGGAAAGCTCCGAGATATTTTACAGTAGTGAAAGAGGTGTACTTTGATCACCCACAATCATAGGAAGGGAGGTATGTACAAGCGACCGAAGTCTGTTGGAATGTAGTAACCCGAGCGTTACGTCATAATAGCTGGCTGGGTTGAGAGATAAGGGCCAGAAGCTCGACCAAGTCACTACTTCATCTAACCCTTTTTGGAGTTTCAAAGAGTTTTCTAAGATTGGGTTTACGCAACCCAGAATTACGTCATCAGCATATCTTCACTCTACGAAATTTGATCGAATGTGAAAACTTTCACTCTTGGCGGGGAATAGAAAGCGGGTAGGATGGCTTTCTGCTATACACCGTAATTGGCTGAGAGAACGGAAGACTTTCTGCCGCATAGCTGCGTAAAGTTGGCGCGATTTGTAAAGTAATCACGCATTACGTTACACACATGGAGCACCATTGTGAGATAAAATAGACAACATCCCCGGTAGTTCAGTGACATTAACTGCCGTCTTGTGGCACAAACCGGTAGTAGTCATGCGTCCAAATTCTTATAGATTCGAAGGATGCGCACCACTGACGAGTCCCAACTGGACGACACGACAGTGGGGCTTTCTATGAATACTGATAAAGCTATCTGGCTTGGAAGCTACTTTGATGGCTTGACCAAAATTTCATTCAGGAGGATCAGGCGACTGAGGTTGTCTGGTCTCTAGCTATTTGTTTCGATGCAGTGGCTTCTGGGTACCCGAGAACTCAACTTATTCTATCTCAGCGTATCGGCCAGGTACGATAAACATGGTTGACATCCAGTCTCATCTACCTTCATAGCCATGAGTCTGATCTCCTGCGCTCGGTTTTTGTCCCTTCTACCCTCACAGTTTAATGCGCTTCTGAGTACAGGCTATTTTCACTTCTCTTTGTTCACTTAATCGCCCGCTTGCCTCTTGGCACACTTGTCTGAAATACAACTTCTTAATGACTGGGCGAGCGGTACCGTGGTTTGATGCCCGTCGTCTGGTTAACTAATTCATGACTTTCTTCTGTTTTAAAACATCTTTATTTACTTGGTTCACTCTTTTCACAAATTCTGTACATGTTTACTGATTTGAAATGCAGTCATTTACGTCATATCCCTCTGTCTTTGTGATGTGTCTGGACCAAAGCGCATGAAATTCCGGCTGATTCTCCCCTTTGTGGATCTCAGCTGACGGACCCGATCGATTGTCAATTGTTAGGATTAGTATAACACGACACCAACAATGTACCATCGGCGCGCACGCATTCGGTATCCTGCTTCCGTCTATTTTTCTTCTTTTTTACGTTTCTTCACATTCTGTTGCCGGATGTTTCATTTTATTCTCTTGTTTTGTTTCGTTTACCTCCGCCGCAGAATATTTTACACTAGCTACCATGTACTCTGATGCCCGGGTGACATTCGACCACATAACTTGTACTTGGTTAGTGGACATTTTTGGGGAAAGTGGTGCACTTGTGAATTTCCGGACAGTTAAAATTGGAACTTGTTATGCCCACCTGTGGGTGTGCTCGTATGCTTGGCAACGCCGCTTCATATCAACCAGCATCCATCTTAGCTGTCAACTACAGTTCTACGCTCTTTGCGCTGAGGCATTGATTGTTGTTCGCAATGAAATGAATTCTATGTAAAGCAAGGCTATGTTTGTGCTCACTCAATGATTGGGGATTTTGTTTGTTTTCCATCATCTCAGATTCACGTATTGGACCACAACGATCACCCGCCTCAATTTGATTTCTCCGATTCATTGGACATAGTTGACTGCAGACTGTTTGCCAGTTTGGACCCGCGCGCCGCTCCCGGTACGTTTGTTATGCGTGTGTTGGCTAGCGACGCCGATGTAAATGATACTCTGAGTTATCGCGTGCTGCCGTCGGACACAGGGCACACTGACTATTTTCGTCTCCGACCGGATGATGGTGTCCTGCTTTGGGCTCCGTTTCGCACGCTCGATGGGAAAGTTTCTCAGCATCCTCTAGCTGGCATTCCAGCATGGCACAGCTTCAATGACTCTTTCCATCACTCTGTTTCCATCGCTCCGTTCCAGGATGAATCTTTTTTCTTCGAGGTGAGCATGACTTCCGCTTTGGTTGTGTGTGTACTGTGCTTGGTTTTGTTCCTTTATCCAAATTCATCCCTTTTCCCAAGCACCTTTTGGTTTGCGCCATTTTGTTGAACAACATGTTCTTCCCCTCTTTATCATCTGATCCATGGCTTGCAAATGCCCTTTTACAACATCTAGTTTTCCCCTTAGTGCTCGGTGTCCATTTCTCATTTTTGTTTTCGTCTGAGGTTGTCCCAATCCTTATAACACCTTTTTGTTTGCGATCGTTTCTTCACACATTGAATCAACGCTGCTCCGTCTTATTCGTATAACACTTTTTTTATCCATTGAAGGTTGAGGTCACCGACGGGCTACATCTCAGCAAATGCGAAGTTCACATTGAGTTAGGTTCTGTTAATTGGGAGTCTCCAAAGTTCCCTGCACCGAACGTTGAAGTCTGGAATATCCCTGAAGTTACAACTCATCTTGGACGTATTCAACTCGCCTCAGATGCGGATCGTGGAGACTACGGCAAAGTGACGTATACGCTCGTTGGTGGACATGACCGGGATGTGTTCCGTTTGGACTCTTTCACAGGTACGCTTCACTTTTCTCCGATGCACGTTTATCAGGGATATTTCTTATCTACATCTTCCACTTCGTAGCTTATCAGGTTTGTTCACCGCCGCATTTTCACTCTGTTTTACGAGTACGTTATTTTGATCTTTGTCTGTTGTTTCGTCTTATGTTTGCATTTTGTTTCGTGGATTACCCATTTCTGACTCATTTCAGCTTGTTTACTTAGCACCAATAATATCAATCATGATAATATTAATATATTCTCGATTTTCACAACGCATGATCAACGAGTTACAAACACTTGGAAATGCGTCGATCACAATTCCATCGAAGATTTTACCGAATAGAGAGTAACGCTGACACAGAGAGCTCTTGAGAGATAATATTCTACCCGTACCAGTGTTTCACGTGGAAATGGGGAACAGTAAACACAATCCAAATGCTGTTTCTCTCGTCACTGCAGTCATATGCGCTTCTTCGCCAATTCCAGACCAGTTGAGGCTTCCAGAATGGGTCATGAGTTAATTTCAGCTTCTCGACAATCAGGAGAATATCTATAATCGTTCACTCCTCACTACATTAGGCCTAGCGGAGACTTGAACATGAAACAGGGAATCAGCGGATAAGGGTAAAAACTTAACGGAAGGTAGATTTTAAATGGTAATAGAAATAAAACGCAGAGCTAGTTCCCGAGATGAACTAATAAATTTAGCATGTTAACAACCGAGCGCCGGAATACATAAAAATTAGGTCAAAGGGATACAAAATGAACTTACTAATTATTACTATGAAGCTGGTTAATTGAATTTCAAAGGATGAGACCGTGCCATCTCAGTCTAGCTTACCAAACCCAGGTGGAAAAATAAAACCTCCAGGAAAGACCATTAAAGTGGTAAATTAAATCTAGTACAGACATCATGTTCCAATGCAGTCGTATTCGGATTCAATGACACATACATGGCAAAATCCAGTATGGTCAAGGAAAACCACGATAACTAAGTAGTAGTAGAGAATAAGCTTTTTGAGGAAGAGTGACACCAGCAAAATATTTTGCGGTAGTCACCATGTGGCCATATGGGTCTCATGTGTCACGAGAAATGATAACGGCAATGTCAAGGTGAAAATCGAAACTACATGAGTTGTGAAAGGTGAGGGATGGAAATATGGCGTAATCTACAAGAAAGGCGCCATGTCAATGGATATATGATGTAACTAAACAGGAGAAAAAGAGGAAGATCTAAGAATTCGTTTTGAACATTACTGGTGTATGGTTGGCGGCATCCGGTTTCGCATTTGCCTGTCACTGTGACCAGCCACAGGACGCCTGCGCCTTCAGAGAGACCATGGGTGACTTGCGCTGCACCACCCACACACCCCATATCCAGTGTAAACCCGAAGGAATAAGACCGGGAGACATGCGGATGGGAGCCACGTTTCATCAACGGAAACGGCCCACACTCCTTCACAGGCAAACACAAGCACGTTGTATTTGGGGAATCAAGCGCTCACAAGGCGGTGGCTGGACCGTAGTCCGTTCCACACTGAGTGCATAGAACCACTCTTCGAGCCTAGCACGGCCACAAGGACCGTGCACCCCGTCCCCTCCAATAACGACCAACTGTCTCCTGGAGCTAGTATGGACGAGGTAGTTGGTAATATACAGGTAGGCACCTTGTGAACATGCACATCAAGCGCATCCACACCGGGGATATCAAGCAACAGCCAGTCACTTGAAACGATAAGATGTAATAACATAAATCGGATAATGCACAATCACTTGAAAGAATGATAACAAAGAAAATAAATCGCGTAATGCATAAGGAAACGGTGACATAACTCTTAAATTAATGAACATATGAAATAAGTTGTTTACAAAAGAATCCGAAATAAGTTCACGAGGTCAGAAGGTATATTTTACGGAAATGCCACAAACACGAAAATGTTATCGAAATTAACTACCATTGGCTTAAGCAACCTGTGCAAGTTTATAGAAGAGAGTATAACTAGGCATTTATTTGAGAAAGAAAAGCATTAGGACAAAATTGAAAACCCACTACCTGAAATAAATAGACTTAGCATGCAAGCACGCGGTTAGTAAATCGAATGCAGCGTACCTACAAACACTGCGCCGGTTCTGCCTACGTTCTCTGCAGGACCCGTCATCGCTTCGATAGTGGTCCCGAGTGGCCTCGCTCATGGTTCACTAAGCCTGCCTGACTCAGACACTCGCGAACGCACCATGCGCTCGATATCGATGGAGTACAACCCATCGGTGCTTGCCGCTTCCGCACTTGCCGCTTCTTCTCTGCATGTATGAGGCCTTTCTCCCGCACTTCGGCAACTGCCTTCGTGATCAGATCGCGCAATGCACGCCGATCAACCGTCTTCAATTCCCATGATCTGCAATCAAGATTAGAACGTATGACGCTCACTTTGATCATGTCCTGTTAGCGTAACTTTGGTTTCCCCACCTGCCGCTTCCCAATACTCAGCTGATCATATAATAGCTGCTTCGGCATCCGCGTCGAATCCATACGGTTCACATGACCGAGCCACCTCAGGTGTCTCAGCAAAAGTATGAAGTCCACTGCATACATTCCACTTTGTCGCAACACTTCCGTGTCTGCAACTCTGTCTCCCCAACCGATGCGCAAAATTCGTCGCAAACACTGCTGATGGAACCGGTCGAGATATCACACATCCCGCCGATACATCGTCCATGTTTCACTGCCGTATAGATGAACGGACACCACCATGGATTTGTACACCATCAGCTTCGTGCTAATGGTAAGCTGATGGTTGTTTCACACTCGGTACTCAAGCTTCCCGAATGACGCCGCTGCCTTCGACATGCGTATACGCAGCTCACTGTGTAGCTGCTGATCAGTCGACATCCCACTCCCAAGGTAGCTGAAGCGGGAGGTGGTTTCCCATACTTCAGCACCAATGCTGATTTGCGGCATTATTGAGGATTGCACCTCCGGTGAAGACTGAAAGGGACAGACAGTTTTGCTTGTGTTGATGGTGAGCCCGAATTTGACCACTGTCGAAACCAGAGCACTAGTCATGTGCTGTAAGTCATCCGCGCTATGTGAAAACAACGCACAGTCGTCAGCAAACAGCAACATACGGATAGTTGTCTTACAGGCTAGGGTTCTCGCACCGAAACGACGGATGTCCAGCAACCCACTATAAATACGGTGCTCCACACGAACACCGTAAACACAAGCCGCATCAAAGCACAGGACATCATGGCATGAAGATATATATATTAAACAGGGCAGGAGCTAAGACACGGCCTCGCTTCACACTAGTGACAACTGCAAAGTCATCCGAGGTCTGTCCACTCAGCTGCACCCTCACCCGCATACCACTGTGCAGATATTTAATTAAAGTTACGAACTTACGCGAGCAACCAAACTTACCCAACACCAGCCACGATGCCTCGCGATTCACCGTATCAAATGCCTTGGTGAAATCAACAAAAAGCGAGTACAATGGCTGTTGTCGTTCTCTGCACTTCTCCTGCAACTGACGAGCCACAAACACCATATCTATAGTGCTGCGACCCGAACGGAATCCACATTGCTCTTCCGCCACGTTAGGTTCCACAATCTGACTGACGAGGCGGTTGAGCAGGATTCGGACAATCACCTTGCCCACACAACTCAGCAAGTTGATGCCACGATAATTCGTGCAACATTGCTTGCTCCCTTTGCCCTTGTACAGTGGTAGCAGAAGGGCATGTTGGACGAAGTCAGGGAGAATATGGTCTGCATTAACCCCACTCCACATTCCTTTCGGATTTGGTCTCTCTGCATTTATTATTTTTTGTGACCATCACCGTTCGAAAACATATGCGCTGCATTTTCTTTTTGCTTCATTTCGCACCACCCCTCGACTGATTCGCGCTGTATCCATGTGTGTTCTTGCAAACCGTGCTACACAATTTGTACTCTGTTTCGATTTCGCATTCCACTGTTTCCGAATTAAGTTTCCACTTATTTTCCAGGTGATCTTCGTGTGTTGGAGCCACTGGATCGTGAATCCATAGACCACTATGTTTTGATGATCCGCGCCTCTGACGGTGGCAATCTGTTCGATTACATGACTTTAGACTTGCACATCTCAGACGTGAACGACAATCGGCCTGTGTTTTTGCAGCCCAGCTACGAAGTGCGTGATATTTTTCCACAATTGTCTGTTTTCATTTACATCCACCAAGTGGTCCTTTTTGTATTAATAGGTTTTATTTCTCCGGTTGCAATTTTTTATTGGTAAATCCGAATTTGGCTGCCGGCTTTTGCGTTTGTTCCCATGCTCTTTCGCTTTTGATCTGTACGACAACTATCTTCTCGATTTCAGTAAATTAACCAACCAATCTCACCTATCCTTAGCTATTTGTATCGCCCGCTTGAACATTCATCATTTTGCCATTGCTCCCATTTGTATTTTCGTGATGTTGGTTGTTTGTTTTCTTCGCTTCGACACTAAGCATTAACGTGATGCAACGGTATGCTTAACTCTGCGACCCTTTGGCTATCATTCATGTTGGCTGCGAGCCACTCGTGCCAAATTGACCAATGGTTTGGGCTTAGGTGAATACAACCTCCTGTCCCTTCAGTTTGTTGATTGTAACTGGAGTGACCCTTTAATCTGACTGCGTTGCCGTAATGTGTTTGAGTCGTTGGGTTTGATTTAGTGCTCTAATCGTTCTAATACTTTGCTTAGAGTGCCCTTAGCTATCCAGAATCACCTACAACCATAGCTCTTCAAACTTCAACGGAATCCCGTATCCACCGTCCGGCATTTTTCACAGGCCAGGCTTGTCTACTTTATGCAGCCTAGAGAACAAAGGAAGATGCCACATTCTTATCCATGCTTGTAATATACAAAACCTAAGTGACGGAAGCTGCGAGTCCGTTTGTAATTCTGCCATTTGTAGTCACATCCCCGCAGTGCTCACTTGACCCCTGTCATTAACTGCCCGTTATCGGACGACTGTCAACGTTTCCACTTCAAGAGGAGAATTTCAACCGGCTGCATTTACATGCTCGCTGGACACCCTGAGTGTGGATGTCTGTTACATATCCGAAAGTTTAACCATGTGATCCTCACATGGTTGTTGACCTAACCGCGCCCGATCTGTCCCCTTGTTATTGGTCGCACGCATCTGGAGATTCTGATGCAGCAACCATATGTGAAGTTGGGGTGCGCGCAATTCTCAGCGCCGAATCTTCTGTATTTGATTGGATTGTTGTGAGCACCATGCTTGGCGCACCAAAGGCCTCTGTTGTTGTTGCCTATAGTCCTATCGACCGCCGTACTGATACCACCAGACGATCTCTCCGAGTGGCGACACTCGGAGATATAAATCAGATATAAATCTTGTTTCAGGGAATACGAACGCGCATTGTGGTTATCTGAGTCCCTGCGAAGCTCAACTACGTGAGGAATTTGTGCTTAACACTGAACACACACCGTTGAGCGTTTGTTACAACTGTGCGCCGAGCATTGCCTGTTTCTTAGCAACACAGCTCTCAGGGATAGTAGACGCTAAGATACCACTTGGCGTCCTCCGGTGACTGGTCCGTAGTGGTACCTAATAGATCCCATCGACATATTTTTCAGTAGGAGTAGCTCCATCTTGGGTTGCCTATCTTTCAGAAACATTTGCGCTGACTCCTGATATATCTTGGCGCATTCCAAATGTTTCCTGAATTTTGCCTGGGGCTGTATCCATCGTTTCTCTCGATCAGAAACTGATGAGATATCTTGGTGCTCATTCAGGCATGCCAACCAAAAATCTTTTACGAAGCTTGCTTTCACCCTCTCACCCTACGGACATTGAGCTTCAGTCGGATAGTATTCCGGCTGCCATGCATGACGCAAGGAATCTCTGCTCATAGCAATGAAAATCGTAATCGGACCAGACACTGGATTTTCGAGACGTCTGTGAATCTGTTGGTATTCAGAAGAAAACTTGTTACTGCATCTGAGTACAGTGTGATCAGACGCAGTGTTATGCGCTAGGTAATACAAAGCTGCGTCCTTCAGGGTAGCTTAACTTACCCGTGTGGCTGCGGAAAAAATAAAGTCAAATGAGGTCGATTGTTGTCTCCGACTCTTCAAGTTGATCACCATCTTTGGTTTCAGGAAGCCATATTTTACTGGGACAAGTATTGGCGCTCCAATTCACATTAAGGTATATTGCTTGGATTTTACACCAAGCATATTTTCAGGCGGCCCTTCACCTCTGAAACTAGCCGTGTTCACTCGGTACATGCTGAACTATGTCAAAGACCGGAGTTCGAAACGCGGTAGTGGCAAAAATGATGGCCTCAATTCTCGTTCATCCATTTACTCCAGATCGGGAATGTCGTATGAGAAATACACAGGCCGGTTTCCACCCGGGATAGAGCTGTATTGACTACAAACACTGTGGCTGGTAGTAGAGTGGTCTTACAGACATCTAGGGTTGCTTTAGCTGGGTTCCTCGATTTTATGGGTATTTTTAACTCGCTGTATTACCCCATCCATTTTGTCATGCTTGCTCGGAACATTTTACGCACCCTGCGCCCGTACACTACAAGCCGCACCATAGTCTATGGCCCATTTATGCTCGATTTTCTCATAATCAATGACCAGATTTGTACAGTTTTCCCATATACCTAGTTCTATCTCGAACTTTACCATGGAACATTCTCTTACGCGATTCAAATCAAGTCAGTTTGCGAGTTTTATTTATCCGCGTGCTTTCATTCCCACAATAGCCACTGTGGCTGGACTAAAATAGTATCATTAAACGTGGCAAAATTTACAACTCAAAAAATGGCACTAGATGCACATGTGTCACTCAAATAAACGTTATCCCGAATCTGCAAGTAACAATGGTACGTTGCTGACCTGCATCAGTGGTATGTGCATCCTGCGGACGGTACACTGTGGAAGCGCAGGACGATGATTTACCGAATCAGAAAACACCTTTCGATAATTCTTCTGCATGGGTTTATTATTTCATGACTGAAATCGGTGAACTGCGTATTTCACGCAGTATCTCAGTTTTTTCCAGAAACTCACACTACACACTACAGCATTGGTGACCTTGTAACTAATAGAACCGAAGAAAATGTCAGCAATATTTAGTCGAAACTGACAATCCCGCAGTAGGTGAAGTAAAAACCATTTTCCTGTAAAGTAATAACGGTCGCTTTAGAAGCACAGTTTTGTTGAAGTGGGCATTGTAATACCGCCTAGTGGATCTGTGTTACGTGGTCGAAAATCGTGAGGCGGTACATCAACCCTGTACAAGGGATTCATACTGGTCTTGTTTGTCCTTCTCATATGATATTCATGACATAACTTGCTGTTGCAAGGCCACCTTGTGGTCCCTTAACTCTTCATAGCCTTTAAGCCTCTAATCATTAGTATTGTCTACTGAGCATTGTCAATGTCGACTGTCCAAAATGTGACATGCGCGGGAGAGCATTACATCGTTGTAATCAGTTTAGCCCCTTACATCAACAAATACTATTGAATGGGTTGTGTTTGTTTTGGCGTGTTCAACCGATGTCCGGTCACCGCTAACCGAGGAGGGTCGTGTTTCATTTATCGGATTACGGAGGGTGCAAGCCTGGGGGAGCAAAACTTAATTCAGCAACCGGAAATCAGTCCGCTGACGATTGCATTGTGTGGATGTTTGTCATTCTCACCTTCCTAGCTCGAGTTTGCCGGACCCAATTTGTGCTCGATTTTGTGGGGGTTCGGAATTTGAGTCGCAGCCTGCGACACCGGTGTGTTTGTCGTAGACTTTTTAGAGACTGAGACTGTATTTAAGAGCAAGTAGAAAGGTTTCTGTACAACTCTATCGAATTACGAAAAATCAAAATTTACTTGTGAATAATCAGCAGTTGTGTCTGGTCCGTTAATCGTTTATCCGTGTTCGGTTAGAAATTTGTACTAGCGTCATTATTTCCGGACATACAATGTCTTCTTTTGGCACTGTATGTGCATCGTTTCACAAAAGCACAGGTTTCCAAAATAATCGTCGATACGGGTTTTAAAACACTTCACAGAATTGGCCTCTATTAACCCTTCAGGTAGTGTATTCCATAAGTTTACGATTCTTCGTTCGATACAAAGCTGATGTGATACTTTGTTCATGCTGGGGACCCTGAGTTTGTAACGATGTCCTCGGGTGTTACAGGGTTCTCGCAGGTGAAATATTGGCCGAAGTATGGGGAAGTGATTCAAGTGTAGTACTCGATGGGTCATAATAAGATCAATTCTTACGCGGTGATAGGATAGTGTGTAGAGTCCGAGCTTTTCACAACGTTTTTCATATGGAAGCTTTCGTAGACTTGGTATCATTCTAGTTGCGAGGTGCTGTATTTTCTTCAGTTTTTCAGTTTCCCATTGGGTTATCGGATGGTAAGCTGGGGCACCGTATTCAAGGATTGGTCTAATGAGCGAGGTGAATAGACGAGGGACGGTTTCTTCGGACCATGTGGAGAAACTGCGTCGTAATGCCCAGAGCATACGAAGTCCCGCACGGTACAATTTCTCTGTATTTTCTAGTGATCTCAAATCACGTCGTGAGAGAACTCCTAAGTCTCTGACAGATGTGTTGGGATGGAGCCGTCCAAGGTGTATGATCGAGTGGCTGGACGTCTGGTGATACTGATGAACTCCGACTTGCTTGCGTTAAGAGGGAGTTGCATTTCAGTGGACCACGTTGACAGTCGCTCTAAGTCATGCTGGAGGCGAGCGCAGTCGTCCTGGTTTTCAATGATCCTCCAGATTTTCAAATCATCTGCAAACAGGGCGCATGATGACTGGAGCTGCTGCGGAAGATCGTTGATATGAATAAGAAGTAATACTGGCCCAAGTACAGTTCCTTGAGGCACGCCACTGGTCGATGGGAACCATTCTGTCAGATAGTCATTGACCTGTACTCTAAACCTTCGTCCCACAATAAACTCTTGTATCCACTGAAGTAACGTGCCACCGATTCCGTATGTCCCCAGATTACGAAGGAGTACCTCGTGGTTCAATCTGTCAAACGGCTTACTAAAGTCGATGTAGACCACGTCAACATCCTTCTGTTCATTGAGAGCTCGAACCCACTGGTGGTTTGCGTACATCAAGTTGGTGATGCAGGATCACCCTTTCGTAAAGCCGTGTTGCGCTGGCGTCAATACGTCCATCGATTCGAAGAACGACAGCAGACACTTTTTCACAACCTTCTCGAGAACTTTGGATAATACCGAAGTCAAACAGATCGGTCTATAGTTCTCTATTTTACTCGGATCACCACCCTTGGGAAGCGGTTTAACTATCGAGCATTTCCAGTCGTTCGGGACGGATCCTTCAGAGAGCGATCTATTGAAAAGGTTTGTCACAGCTGGTGAGATGATAATCGATAGAGACTTGAGTATTAGTGGGTGAAGTCCGTCTGGTCCGGGGGGCTTTGCACCATTGAGGTTGACGAGAATAGAATTTACTAGAATTATTTCTGATGCTAAGTTGTCTGTGTGGCAAGGCCGCTTATTCTAGTGAGCAGGGAAAATTCCAAAGTAGCTATCTTTCTGTCCGATGTATCCTTATATTCACACGAGTATTAGTTCTTTCTGACTATGTGTCGTTGACAAAGTGTGGGCACATTGGTCCCGAAGGTTTACTTGTGGCCTCAATGTTTTGTACTCAGTCCCTCTTCCTCCCCTCTTATTATTCCTCACTTCAGAGGTTATTATAGCTTCATTGGAGCGGGACATCAGTTTAAATTGCCCCTAGTGATGACAGTGAGCGTTTCTCGTACTTTGTGACCGATTGAGTCATTCGCACATCCCCGGAGCTTACGGTTTTGCTCCTCTCCTTCGTACGACGCTGCTTATCCTTTCACCCTTTTGTCTTTCTTCATGGTCCCAATCTGGCCCTCAGATGCCACAATATTTCGCACACGCATTCTTTTCAATTCTTCTATCCGTCCGTTTTTGAACTGAATCACTACTACACATCTCGTACCACGCATGTCGTTTAGTGCACTTCTAAGCATTGTCGTCGCGAGTACTTTGAAGTTATCGTTAAGCAACCCTATTAAATCCGAGGCCTCGCATGATTATTACGACTCAAATTATGTTCCCATTTTGTTTTTCCTTTTCCTGTCATCTACACCGAATTCTTCGGCTCCCTTTTCTCCAGATCACTTTGTTTCCACATGAATACGATCCGCTGGTGCCCCATTTTCCATACCGCACGTCGTTGTGCGTCCAAGCGTCAGATGCTGACATGGGGTCAAATGCACAGCTCGTTTACCGCATCTTTCGCCCACCTATCTCCTCTCTGAACTACGACTTAGACAATGGTGCCTCGCTGTTTACTCTCGACTCGGAGACTGGATGTCTATCATTAAACGTTGCACTGTCCAACAGTACCGATGAGATCCATCTTTTTGCTGAGGCTTGCGACACTCCAACGGACCAAACTTCCGGCGTCCTTTGCTCCAACCCAGTTGGCATTGTTGCACGGTTGGCTAAACGGAGTCCCAGTTTCATCGCACACGTTACGTGTTCATCTTTACCCATCTTCGAAGTAAGTAGTCCAGGGTTCGGGACACATGCCTATTCCAACTGTAGTACGATTTGTCCGTCACGCACCTATTCTGAACTGTTAAACCCTTGTGTTTTATCCGAATAAGACCTGCACCCTTCAGTCGCTGTGGAAAAGTTCGAAAATAACTTTTTTGCCTTGGTGTTAATCAAAATTCTCTGCGAGACCACATACCGCTGTGACATGGCTCATAACACACACCAGTTGGCTTCCTGAAGCCCCCTCCCCCGTCGTTATTGACTGTTTCTAAACCTATGTGTTTCTCCTTAGGACCGCCTGTAGATGCATCCACGCCTCTCATTCGGTCCAGGTTGTTTTACCTCCAAACTCTGCTTCCGCTTGTAACCAGGATACGGTGTCTCAGGAATGTCAGCTTGCGTGTCACTAAAGAATTTCCTATAAAGTGCTTGACTCTCTTATGTTATGCGCATTTTTTCCTGAGAGCTCCCTAGCGGCCAGTGGAGGCGGACACACTTTGTGAGTACCCCTCATGAGTCGATACGATATCTGCAGGGTCAGAATGTGCCTACCCTTTGTAATGGACATTCTTCATCTTTCAATCCCTGCTCTGCTGCCACTGTTACTGTTTGAAACTCTCACATCCATCACACTTGACCCGGTGGAGTCGACGATTAGTTGCTCATTTATCCTACTGGTGTCGTTTTTCTAATGATATAGGTGAATCCAATGTGTGTGTGTGACCTAGTTCATAATTGCCTCTCTACTGTTAATAGAACAAGTTTGTTTACGTTGCTTATTTCACAATATGCGGTGCTGGCGACATATCGTCACTTAACGATTCGATGGTAATTAACATTCCTTTACCAACCATTTTCTGGTGTTTTTATGCCTTCATGTAGTTAGGTAATGAACCCAGTTTAAATTAATGCTTCAATAGTTGTTCACGTCCCACAGTACGCATTTTTCGCTGCTCTCCTCATTTCTCGGAGGTGCCTTGTATGATGTTCACGCAATCCCCGTCACCTTCAAGGGATTTTTCATCTCATTCAACGCTAATTTTAACTCATTTGTGTGGTACCCTTCTCTCCGACTCAATCACGCGTTCGTCGCAGTATCATTTCATTTTTCCTCTTACCGCTGAACCTGCCAACCTTTCCCTTGCCTCTATATCATCGTCCTTCCCTGAGCTGCTGTGGCTCCGCGGTTACTGTCTCTTGCTGTAATAATCACTACCGTTCTGTCAAATCAGGACATCACACTTCTTATTTGCAACATTTCAACTTCAATATATTATATTACGAGTTCTGTTTGATCTGACCGATTTTTGGTTTGCCACTGCGGTTTCTCACCTAACAGCGTTCCAGGTTCATATAACTGTGAGACCTGCGCCCATCACACTCTACTCATTATCATCTTAATTTGCATGATGGTATCCATTCGGAAGTAGGCTATGTATTATGGATCACAGAGTGGCACACTAGTCTCGTTCATTTTTACTTCCGTCTACCGTTTTACTTTTCCATGTGAGGATGATGAGTGTCCAATGTGCGACATTACGAATGATCGGCATATAGACATGGTTATTGTGTTGCCACCGCCTCTGCCCACATTCCTTCGCGGTGCAATCGACACGGATGACTGCTACCGACAAATGCTTCCCCCCCCCCACTCAATTTTGCCTACATGGCACACATACTTGCGCATCAGTTACCTGTGCTTGAGACGTGATCATCTATCACTGGGGCAACCTCTCACTCCTAACACCACCATAACGTTGTGTGCAAGTCTACTCGCACATGGTTGGCAGCTCGCGCATATAATTGCCCCGAATTTCCTCAGGCAATTTCTGCCGAACAACTCCCATCGGAAACAGATGTGGTGGTTAAACTTGCCCTTGTCCGTCGTCGATTGTGTGCGTTATGACATTCAGCTATGCCATGCAGTCTCTATTCTCTTAATGTTTGCGTCTACCGCAGCTTTTCCCCAAGCTGTTGATTGTCTGATGGTGTGTTCGTCTTTTTTGCATGCTGACAGTCCATGCACCCGTACCGCTTCTCCTTTCCATGCAGTGTTATCCACCGAAAATTGCGTAAGACGGCTAATTGATGTGCCACTACAGGCTCCATATTTCATCTTCCCTCATTCACGGAATGTGTGTTCGCTCACACTTCATTTTCGAATGCCTGGCGAACTACGCTATGAAACTAATTGGTTTCAGAGTAATATTTTTTGTGAGATTGTTTCGCGTTTCATCCATTTGAGCTGTTCATACTCGATCTTTTGCATCCAATTTGGTTAGTAAGCCGGTTTTCTGTGTTTCCCTATAAACGCATTCTGAACTCTTCCAAGTGGACTGCTTTCAACATTTCACATTGTACAGCGCACGCGACTCCGTACTCCTTTGCCGGGTTCGTGTCGACAAATTCGCTAACCGTGAGACATACAAATTCGCCTCATTTCACTTCCTTTGTTTCGCAGAGTTTCACACTGGTATAGCACAGAGGTTACCTATTATCTATTACACACGCACAGGGCAACAATCATTTTGCTGCATGGGAACTGACAGTGCTTGTTGTACAACTTGAACACGCTGAATTCAAATCTGACATTAATTTTTTGCTGTATAAGCTACCGTTTTTTTTGAAAATCAGCGAAGAATTTCGCTTTTTGCACCTTTCAGCTACATTTCCGCTCATCATCTTACGCAAAAGCAGTCACAAAGGAATTAACGGTGGCTGTTATATAGTTTGAGCGTGCTGAATTCAAATCTGAGCTTAGTTTTTTCTCTGTAAGGTACAGATTTTAGGAAAAATGATTTTTCTCAACAGGCGGATGTGTTCATAATGATGGCCTACGACCCCGTGTATTTTACATACATAAATTAATGCAAACATACATCCTGAACGCAACCTTTTATTTAAGCATTACATATTCACAAAACTAGATGCATAGCAGGCAAAAATTTGCGTTTATAGCTTTTGCGTTGAAATATTTTTTAAGGGCAGTCACGTTTGATGCTCCAACCATGGTCCAACATCATTTGTTTCTCCCATTGTCCCTGACAACATTCCTCCATCGTCATCATATCTTGATGAAAATGTTCCCTTTGTTCGTCACTTACTGACCAAAGGTTTACGGGGAATTGATCAAAAGGACTGTTCAAGAAATGCAGCTTGTTGCTGGGAGGCTGATAACAATTCCAGCATCAGTTGCACTGTCTTCATTAGTGGAATCCGATTCATGAAACAGAGCTACGTCTTCATGCCGCCTGACTTTATCATCTGATAAAGCAAAACCTCCAAATTTTTGAACCGGAAGCTCATCAGAGTGTGGAATGGATCCAGTTGCAAAGAAACTACGGGAATAAGAGATCTTATGCCGATTTTTCTTTCTCATACCTTTCGTATTAGCCATGCCAAAATAGTAGTCTGTTATGTACTTAGTAGATTCTCGCCAAGCCGTAGCAACTACAAATGGCAGGCTTTCGCGTCGTCTTTTTGTCCAGTCGCGAAACATTTCCTCGCAATAATGGCACACAATATGTGGTGCCCACTTTTTGTCCTGGTCCCCAACGGGCATTTTGAAGTATGCTTTATAGACAGATCTCACAGACGGTGATATTTCTCCTTTGACGAACGACTGTATAGCATCCGCATATATAGCAAAATACATCAGTTCTATTTGCACATTTATGCCGACCTGCATGGTCCATGGACGTGGCTGAAATGAAAGTGGCTTGGTTAGTAAATTTTCCTTACATCTAAAATATTTAATCGCTTGAAAACTATAGCACACAGAAAAAAGCGGGTTTCCTATTTGAAGTCAGCACTAAAAGTTCATGTAGAATCACTTTACAAATCTTTTGTATCAGAAAGTTGACAAAATTTAGTTGCCCTGTGTTATGGTTTTTTTCATGCCAACAAGTATGTCTTGTCGCAAACCACTGCAATATGCTAAGTGACGGTTTGTTCTTTTTGGATAGTTCATGCTAGACAAGTCTATGGTGGTTGTGGACGACGCAAACCAGGTCTCAGTGTCTAATTCGAAGAAGGTTTAGGAGAGTTCAAAGTTCCTCTCCATCGAACTCGGTTTCTGTTGTGATCACTGAGTTAGCTTTGCCACATTTCGTAGTTGGAGTCGTACGACTTCAGCCGCGGGACTCGAACCGCTTTCTCGTGTAGACCATGCTCTTTTACTACCCATAGCCTTCCTGCCTCAGCGTGTAGGTTTGTTAAATACACCTGGTCGACTGAAGTTTATCACTTGCTAGATCAGCGTCAGGTTGTATGTAGAAATCGATCTTAAACTGCTCGGGGAAAAGCAAACCGTCTTCCTTAGTTAGACCGGTGATATCTGTCCCACCACTTTTGTACATGATGCAGTCGCTCCCATTTCTTTATCAGACTTTTTTCTAACCACCGTACCTTTTTGTTCTGTTCCTTTTTCTTTGCATTGTTATCTACTTTAAGTCATTTTTCCCACCGCTTTGGATATTTTTTGTTGTTGTTCTGCTTTTGTGGCGATAACTCTGCGGGACATGCCGGCGGCTAGATCCGTTGCAGTCTGGATTATAGTTACTTAACAGGTCTCACGTTATGAACGGTATCGGAGCTGTTTATCACTATTTTACACTTCCGCACCATTGCTCTATGGGATATAAATTGTCTACTAACAGGTATTTCTACTTCGGGCTTCTGTATTTCTCCATTTCCGTTCATATGTGCAGTTGAACTTTCTTAACGCTGAGATTGCGAACCGTATAGCAAAAGCTCGAAGTGCTTTTGCTAATCTCCGCCACCTGTGGTGCAGACGCGACATTACTTTCGCCCTGAAGGGCAGCGTTTACAACGCGGCCGTGGTTGTGAAACCTGGCATATCAGATCGACAGACATAAAGAGGCTCATCACATTCGATCATCGCTATCTTCGCAGCCTAACTCATGTCTGGTGGAACACCGCGTGAGCAATGAGCGTGTTCGGCATCGCGTATTTGTTGCCGGAAGAGCGAGTGAACCTCTCAGCATCATTATTTCACGCATCAGGCTCCGATGGCTGGGCCACGTGTTGCGCGTGCCAGCACACCGACTCTGGCGACGTGCATTGTTTGCGTGTCGGGCGTGCGGTTGGAAGAGGAAGAGGGGAAGCCAAGCGATGACTTGGTCGAGAGGAATGAAAACCCTCACTGCGAAGTTGGCGTCGGCTGGTGCATCCCGACTGCCTGGCTGGGGTCCTAAGGACGATGAGCACGTTTGGTTGGACACACTTGCTGATATGGCTAGGAGTCGGGCCCAGTGGCGTTTGTGTTGTGAGTTCCTTTGTCCATCCCCCTCCTGCTTTACCTCCTCCTCCAATCACGACCTCATTTGTTAGGCATAATATGGCTCTCTTTTTGCGGCACGGTAGCCGGCTGTTAACTCTCCGGAACGATGTCCATCCGTTACTGGGATTCAGCCGGTGTGCCTCTGTTGTTTTTTCTTCTTGCATTGTGTATTGCGGCTCAGTAGCTGAGGTGTATTCCACCTGCAGCCAACGTGTATAATGATGATGACGATGATCTGCTTTCAAATTCAGCTTGTGTACATCTTATTGACTATCACCGCACTCGTGGGTATCTCCTCTTTCGTGCAATCTCTACCGTCTTGCTTCACAGCTGTAGGCTCGTGGATCCCTCTCTGTGCTATAAGGCTGCGTTTTGGCTTCACGTCTATCCGTATGGTCCGTAAGCGATCCTTTGCAGTCGATCATCTGAAGTCTTGTTTTGTGCTGGCTGTCACGACACCGGTGCATCACCTACAACTGCTGAGGGACGTCCTTGTGGTCAGCTCAGCTCATGTTCCAATTACATGCATCCAACCTCATGGCCTTACGTATGGTCCTTCAGATCGCTTAGAGTTACCGGCAAAACGAACAAATTTGGCACGATCTTTCCTCTATATGCGGTCTCTCAGCGCTGAAACAGAACACCCTGAGTTCTTTGAAAAGGTCCTTTAGATACATTAGAAAAGCTTTTCATCGTTCTCCGATCTTGTGAACAATGTCCACCCGCTTCAGCTCACCGGTTCCAAACTTCCGATTGCATGCATCCTGCTCCATACTGTGTATACTGTACGTATCTAATAGTTTTTGATGATACGACACTCAGCTTCCGTGATTATCCGGCAGGCCAAATACTATATCTGCTTCAGATGACTTATCGATGCGCGCATGCTGACTTTACGGTAGTTTGTTGGCTTTTCAACGATCCCATCACTGCTGACCAGCGTGAGCCCGCGAGGCCTCCATACGAGGGCTGAGTAGCAATCAACTCCTCATGTTTGTTACCCGAGCTCCTCTCTTCCGACCATTCCGTAAACTCTGATGTCCGCTGTAACGCTGGCTGCGAACTGGAACGTTCGCTAGGCTCAGCAGTGTTATGGCGCCAAACGTGGCATGAGGTATCTATCATGAACTCTCTTTCAACTGGTTAAATACTCGAGTACTGTGAACTTTTTTGTATTAATTGCAGTACGCTCCATGCTGCGTTATTCCATCGATACTCAAGCTTGGCAACATATCCTTCTCTGTCCTGTTAGTTTCATCCCCACCTGCTGCTTTATCATGTAAATAATTTGTTTCTTTTCTTTGAACAAATCATTACTCCATCTGTTCGATACGTCCCCGTTCTCATTATCGTTGAGCAATATCTGGTGCTAGTGATCGGATCTCTCAACTCTTGTTACCAAATTACCGGTCTATATAAAATGCACGCGCTGTTAACGGTAACTGATCTTTCACCCATCTATGGAGACAGCTAGCCATCAGCTTATCAGTTACCTACGGTGTCCTGCATTACATTTGGTGTGGGTCTAGTAATGGTAGGCAAGACCACGCCCTGATCGGGCTTCGGTGTGACTTGTGCTTGGGTCTGCCTGCACAGCACCGCATCATCTTTTCAGCTTGCATAACTGAAGACTTGCTGTCTCTACGTACTTTTTTGCCTGCGTATTGCCTGTTCATTGAATTTACAAGATGGTTAATGTCTTTTTTGCCTAAAACTCTTGAAAAACGAAGTACTCTTGCTGTGCGCCGTCTTTCTGAATGGGGTCTCTTGATCCACTTGCTCACTAGCTAGTGGTGCTTTTTGATATAGCGCCTCATACAGAACTCCGCGTTATCGCGCTTAGTCTGTCACTTTGAACTAGGGTTCGGTCAATGACCGAAGGGATAAGACGTCTGCCTTGTAGTCTAAAAGTGACCTTTTCCAATCTATGTATGTTTAAGCGACCCTACGGTATCTCTGGTCCACGCGTGACTGTTGCTGGCCACGTCGCAGCGAGGCGTCCGTACGGTGTACCGGCGTACTGCTGATCCCCTTCTTCTACCTTTATACTTATTGATTCTAACGTTTTGTTGCGCCCATTATGTTCCTTTTCCGCTACATTATGCTCAACTCTTAATTTTTTATTATCATAACATTGAGGCGTATAGCATTTGGCTTGTTACGCTGATTCTATTAACACTTTTTTAACATGATCCAATCCCACTGATCCTGGCATGGTCATGCCTCTTGTCGACTAATTTTTCATTGGCTTCATTAGACTTGTTTCCTGCCCATCTTAGCTATTTGCAAGCCACTCCTATTCATTCTGGCTTCTGTTTTTTCCAGCTTATCTCAATCTAAAATGCTACCTTTTGCGTCCACTCCTAATCTCCTTGCGTTCTTGAAGTGGTGCTGCTTGTGAATACTTCCTGCACCTACAAGTGTGTTCATGGAAGTCCTTCTGAAACTGACATACAGTAAGAACTCAAAAGCGAATACCGTTAACCTGGAGGTTGGATGAAATCTCATGTGAACAGCACGCATGACTTTCGATAGCACGAAGGGGCTGTATCTTCTGTATCCTGGACTCTAGCAATGGCTCTGTTTCAGTTTTCCTTGCATCTTCCGTAGGTTTTCCAAACTACCTCCTCGTATGTGCGGCGTCACTCGCACACTGTGGTTGGGTGCCACCACCATGTTTTTCCCTGGGATTTCGGCCAACTTTTATCCTTATACCATCATCCGTTCAGCGGTCCCACATGTTGTCTATATACAAGTATTCACTTACTGGAAACTTTTATCCCGAACGTGTTGGTCATAGTATTTCGCGCCTACTGTGAGAGTAATTGTAACTGGGTGACAGGATTCGTTGAAGCGAGAGAATATCTCACGATGTTCATCGCTTCAGACACGAATTCATTCATTAATTCTCCTTAATGGCTGTCCACCATATTCGAGCTCACTCATCCATTGTTACTTTCGTTACCCGGACTCGCACCTTAACCTACATTCCCTGCATATTTACTACTGAATAGCCGTTTCGTTTCTCCCAGTTGTTGCAGACTGGTTGAATACCTTGTGTACCTGTTCCTTAGATGCTACTCAATTTATTCATGTTCTCCGCGTCCGTTTCATCAGGACGACTTTCTACTGGATCGCAACGTCGCCGCATGTCACGCGCATCCAGCTAACGCCACCGGATCTTGGTCACTTGCTTACACTGTCTCTAAGTCGGGCGTGCAAGTGGCTGCCTTTCGCATAGATCCCTTATCTGGGCAACTGTACAACACCAAGCCCATGGACTATGAGACCGGGCACTGTTATCACATCGGTGTCCAGTTTGAACTCTCTGACGTTTCACCTCTCCTACTCTTGCGCACTGAGCTACGAATTGACGTCATAGATACCAATGATTGCTCCCCTGTGTTTGACTCGGCCATGTAAGTAATCTCCTTTTTCATTTCATATCGTGTTCACTACTATTTTTGCACATTGTGTTAGACCAGGGGTGGCTGCATTTTGTGAGATAAAAATATATCGGGCCATATAGTCTGACATTAAGATAATAACAAACTTACACATGTACGAAAAATCCCAAGCCTGTATTTATTGTTTCATAATGAGACCGCGGGCCAGTTGAAATGTTAACGCGGGCCGCATTTGGCCCGCGGGCCGGACTTTGGACACTGGGTTAGACTATCTGGCTTGTAAGCAGCCGGGACGAAGCGCCATCATCATCCTCAAAATCCTTTTACTCATAAGTACTCTTTTTTCGTTTACTTGTAGTGTTCGTTATGTCGATTTGTTCCTTACTCCAAACGGGGTCAATGTATCCTACCCACCATGTAAATATTGCTTCATTCGCTCTGTAGATGGTTAGCTTGTTTTATCGATCAACAGAGTCATTTAGAGGGGGTTACACTTTTCTAATGCTGTCAGTTGTGTTGCTTACAACTCTTGTCGCTATTGGCGTTTCCGGTTTCCCGCCTAATATTTAAGAGTTCCCCCACATTTGCGTACTAACGACTTCTCGTCATGCATTTTTTTAAAACTTCTCGTTCATTATTTCTACCTCAGTAACTACTTGGGAATCGTTTCCTCGTTCTTGACTTCATGTAGCGCTGCGCACTCCGGTGAGTGATGAACGTGGAAATAGGCCGCCGTCTAAGGCACGGTTGAGAATTTCACGCGTAGGCACCCGGGTGATTGTTTTTCCTTTACTACGACCTACCCAAATGACCTCTCTCTCTCTATAATAGTTGTAGGATTAATGCATACTTCAGATTATCTTATTGCTTTTAGGCCTCACCCCCCATACTGCATATTGATTATCTCATGATAATTCTCCTATCGCATCCCAACCCTTTTCTGTTCTCTTGCCAATGCACCTTATTGTTCGTTACCTCGGTTCTTCTAAGTGCACCATTTGGTCACTGCATATGCATACCTTGTATAGCCTATTTTCCGCTGTGTTGTCATCGTTAATTCCTTTCTTTCAGCCTTCTTCCATCTAAGTCCCACATAATGGATTCATCAGAACACAGTCTTTATTTAGCTCCTCGTTACTACCTTGGTCCATGATTTAATCACTCATACGAGAACTGTCACTTGTGTTCTCATCTCGCGAAGTCACACGTTGTTTGTGCTAGTCATACTGTTGCTTTTTTGGTTGGGCAGACCGTTGTTCGAGTTAACAATACCGTCTTCCTGTCCCGTGTTATACTACTAGCATTGCTTATGGCTTCAAGCCGCTTGAACGACTGTGCTGTTATCACCTCGATTTCTACATCTGCACTGCAGTATCTGCGATGCGCATCTAATGCCAACGTTTCATTCCATACTTTGCCAAACTACATCTTATTTCTTGTATCCGAGTGTGGGTTTGTTTTGCGCTATCAACTGCAGGTATATTAAAATGCCGCCAAAAATGCTAAACATGACGTAATTGGGTGAATAGCATACCGGCATCTCTCAACTAAAACTGGTCCCACATCACACCGATAATTTTCGCTGATTTAACAGGCAGGCTCGACAATTACGTTAATACAGTATTATAGTATCCCGAATATTAGGAAATGAGACACAACATTCAACATTTGGGATTTTTGTAGTTATGATGCGAAACAACTAAAATTTGATCATGCCAAAATAGGCATGTCTCGTAAACCCGAGAATGTACTTGGTATTATTGTTGAGCTGACAAAGTTTCTGCTGAATCAACTTACAGTCTGTGAAAGAAATGATGTGTAAGCTTAAAACACTTATTTGTGCTTATGAATGGAAGGATTTTGGTGAGTATTTTTGTTCACACCACTGATGAGCCCCAATAGGGCGAAACGGCCGTCTGGTGCTTTTCCGGATAGCTGGTCGACATATCTGAATTGCCGGCTGATTGCAACGAACAAAACTACTTATTTGTGCATCAAAATGCTTGTTGCCAAGGAAATTGTTTGCCACAAATATCTGATCTTGATCAGCAGAATGGCCACTGCTACCAAAACGTTGGTCAGAGCATCGAACATCTACAATTTTAACAACTCGAGAATGTCGCATTAAAGTTACACGGGGTACACCAATCCTTCCCAAAAACTTGTATCCCCACTCAACGGGATTTGGATAAAAATACCAGACAGTTAAAAATCCTATCCACTTAACCGTTGTCATATCTCGCATGTTACCTTAACAACTGAGCACGGTAACCGCATATTTCGTGATGACCCTACAGGGGAACAGTCCCTCGTGGGAACAAGAAATATGACTTTTCGTTTCCTTATATTTCACTCATCATCCACCTTTGTTACCTTCGTTTGCACGCAATTCGCTGCTCAACCGTCTTTCTGGGCTTTGCCACATCCGTCCCCCCCCCCCACTACCGTGAGCACACATCCAGAAAGATTCTGAGAAAATACCTCTCATACATTTGTTTCTTCCACGCTTGCGCGTCTCATAAGTCGCATGATCTTTGACGTAAAGGGAAGCGGACTCATCTAGCTTTCACGATCATTCGCTGCCTTTTTACACTGGTACGCATACTACTTACACAGTTTGATTTGAGCTACATTGTTACATATGGTATATTCAGTCTGGCTTCCGCCTTTGTCGTGGTTGTATCGACAACATATTTGCTCTTCGCCAACTGTTGGAGCACAGAGACACACATGCAGACGACCGACTGTGGTGGTTTTCCTTGACTTTAAAGCCGCCTTCAACGCTGTTGGCCGCTCCAGCTTCTGGTACTGTCTATCCATGAATGGTGTGCCGGCTAAACTCCTTTCCATTCTGAAGTCTCCCTGGCGTGACTCCCGAGGCCTTGAGTTCCCCACGACAGTTGGGGTTCTCCAGGGTTGTCCTATATCTCCTTTCCTTTTCAACTTTGTCATCGAAATGATCACGATTGACTCTGTTCTTTAAGACTATTCTGGAGTGGAAGTTCTGCCAAGTGACCGACTGACAAACCTGGAGTATGCGGACGGCATGGCTCTACTTGGGTTTGACGCGGTGACTATGCAGACACTACTGGATAGACTGACGCGTAGCACTGCATTCTTCAGCATGTGCTTTACAACTTCAAAGTGCTAGGTATTGTTACAGGACCGGGCCCATACGCTGCCGATTTTATCTATCACCTAACGGCCGCTGGCACTGTGGGATCGTTCACCACTTGTAACTGCCAAGTCTGATGGTCACATCACTGAGAGATAACTCGTGTATCACTTGGGCCCATGTGGCTTTTCAGAGCTCACCATCTATGGAACGGCGGAGTCAACCTGTTAGTGAGGTAGAGTGTATAACGCTGCGATATGGCCGTTGTTACTGTATGGATTAGAGACCTGAACAGTTCACAGTAGACATTAACGCTTCCGTGTTTGGCCCGTGTTGCGGCGTATTACTCACACTGTAGACGGTGTATTTAATACTAAATCCCGTGACTTTTTCAGAGCCTCACTCGAATGCTGCTAACTCGACCGCTTCGTCCGTTAAGTCATGTCCTCCGTGTCCGTCGAATACTTCCTCGGCGTGCATTATACGCCGTTTGCACGAGTTGGTGAACCCGAGTGGCCAATCGATGACCTGGTATAGTTCATAGGAAATCGACTGAGAGACTTGGTCAGGTTAGCGTATTTGTGTATGGGGCTCGGATGGTTATACCATTGTTTCCATCAGAGATAGCACAGTCGCAAAGTCAGTGACACCTGTTTGCGGTTTCTTGCATCCAGTGTTAGGTTCATTCATCCCATTAGTTATCGCCTCTATTCGGCTTTTCCCGTTATACTAACAATCTGATTTCTTGCTGTTGTTCTTTTCCATTATGAGGACGTATTGTGTAAGGATCAACCGCACTTTTTCACTACTCTCTTTTACTTTACTGCGGCTACCTCCTGCGACAGGATGAGCCGGACTCATGTATGTCGCAAATCGCAGCTGCCCAAACGCGCAGTGGCGGCTAATCACGCGGATACTGATCCAATGATTTCTCCAGTGCCGAGCATCATTCACACCTGGATCCCAAGATATCGACATCCGATTCACTGCAGCGACCACGTTTCAACTGCCCCCACGGGACGATACTAAACCTGGTAAGGCGACGGCAATCACGGCCCTAGTGAATCAGTGTCTGTCCGGAGGACGTGACCGAACCACTGAAGCTGCTTCGTTGGATAGGCGTTGAGGCTTCGGAAGACTATACAGCGTTACGGATTCGTCATTGGTTGATACACTCATCCTCTTCGCCTTACGATAAGCCTTAGACACAATCGTCGAAGACTTCCAGCTTCGGGTGTCTTCGGATCTCAGCGGTCATGCTACGCAACTATGGAGTGAATTCACACGAAAGCTTGCTGAGAATACTCGGACCTTGTTCTCAGACTACTTCAGTCCTCGCCACAACAGTTGCTCAGTTTAGTAGCTGTGTTCAGCGCTGTCAATGCGACTTCCGATTCAGATGCACCTGATTTGGGAGAATAGTGGATCCAAGTACTTAATCATACAGACTCGATAAGTTGTCCATGTAAGGCGAGCACAGGCAGACTTGGTACTGAAAGTGAAACTACTTTGTCTTGATGTGTTTTCGGGCTGATCATAGAGTCATTGTCGACCCGAACAATGACTGTAGTGGTATAGAGTCTCTGCAGGATAGCGATATCGTCTGCGAATTCTAGGTCTGCCAGCCAGAAGTCAGGGCTAACTTGACTAGATAGCCTCCAGGACATGATGCATAACCGGTCGAGCGGAGTTAACAGCACTAGAGAAGTAGGCACCCTGCCGACCCAGTATCGTTATCAATTTCTTTGTTCTACTCCATAGACCCGAATCCGGGCCTTCGTACAACGGTAGTTGCTCTCATCAAGTAAAGAGTTAATCGGCACACCATTGGCAAATAGGATTCTCAGAGTGCTCTCGGTCAACTGAGTCAGGCAGCTCGAAAATCAACGAAGCGTCG